TCGCTGAGGTGCACAATGACAAACGTGGCTTTTCCAAGTTCTTCCTTCTGCTGCTGAAGCCTCTGATGCCCTGCTTCCTCTCGAAGATCTATCTACAGTTGTACGGTGCCAGCTCTGATCCGCAACTCAGATATTCTTAGCATTCTTTCCCTTCATACCTGAGCAGCTGCTGTCTTCGCAGGCAACAATCAAGTTTCCAGGAAATAAGGTCGGTGGCTTTAGTAGTGGTTTATTCTAGGAAGATTCGCCATAACTATATAGCCCACAGTCATGACTTCACAAACTACGTTCAGCTGAATACGTTCTGCCGAACTAATAGCTTCCTTTGGCGATGATCTTCAACGACCTCGTTCAGTCAAATGCATTACATCTGAGTTAACCGGACTGAGTCTAAACGATGAGCTTCCTCTGCGTCTTCTGTCCGTGTCCTCCCTTCGACAATTGAGGCAGTCTTATGCCTCTGTGAAAGGCTGGAGGTTGATTTCAATCATCTCATGTACTTAAAGTTCGTAAGGGGAGTCTGAGAGTTGACTCAAAGTTGAAGATTCGCGTATGGAGTTGCAAAAACGGCCCCTTTCGTTTCATGTCTTTCGAAGATCAGAACGGAAGAAGAAAAACGTAGAGTGCAAATCCGACTTTTCTGCTGTTTGGTTCATTGTGTAACGGTGATTTTACAGGCTTCACTTTTCATGACCATCAGTTTATGTGGATAGCAACCGTGCTTGCTGAAGCTACCAGTTGTCCCTGTCGAATCCGCTGTGCGACTATAATGTTGCCGCTTCTTCGATGACATCTGTAACTGATCGGCCATACTTTCTTCTACAGCTCGACAACTCGGTCATTGAGGTAGCATTGGATAAGACGAAGGAAAGCCTCGGACACCGAGGTAAAATTAAAGACCCATTTAAACTCAAGAGAAGGCTGATATCATGAGAGAAATCTCGAGAACGCATGCTGTAATTTCGTTATGATAAACTCTGAAACTTTGTAAAGTGCGAGATTACATCACATGTCTGATGTCATCGATCGAGCGTCGTGTGGGTTTAACTCCATTTTGATGTGAACCATTTTCTTCTGCTCAGAGGGCCGCTGAATGAAAATCGTTGTAACGCACTTTTGTAAGAAATTAATACAGACAGCATATATCAGTGTTTCCACTTAGCTCGGCAATCAGTATCTCCATTTGGACTTTTCTCTAAGCCATAAACACAATTGGCCCTTATGAAGATCACAGCTTATTTAATCCGAAGTTTCATGTTCGACAACACTTTTCACTTTAAAAAGACATACCTTACCGTACTTTACTTATCCCTCACTTTAATCGATGTATGCTTGCCATAACATGCACATCAAAGTTTGACCCAGTGGAGAGCCAGTCGTTGCAAGTCACAATATTCTGAAGAAAACTCTTATGTGGGAACTACCGGTTCAGTTTCATTCTAAAATGGAGTACTATTCTATGCACTACGATCGGGGGGGGGGAGGAGATTACAGTAAAACTGCACCAAAAAACGAATACTACGAGGAAGGAAGTACAAAATGTATGAAGCAGTCGGATAACCACACATTAGAATATCACGACATGAGAATATTTCCGATCGTTTTCCTCAAAACTTCCTCGCTCATATCGAACTCAGAACAGCTCGTTAGCTGATCGACATGGGCCGTTAGAAGGCTTACGCATTATCGTCGATTGTTAAAGAGGCACTTCAATTAGAGCGAAATTGGTTTACCGCCTAATGCTGATCACGAATCTGGGACCCATTGTTTTTCTCTGCTGCTAGTGCTCTGTGCATGATGAGTATCATGACGACCAGTGATAGCAGAACTCGGTCTACAAGCAAACTTTCCTCGCTACAGTCAAAGGTTTCTCTACATAATTTATCCGCTCTTCCATACAGCGAACACTGAGCCGTGCAAGTGCTCGCCGCGGCGCACCACGATGGAGCACTTCTTCTCAACACCGTCATCAGCATTAAAATGGTCATTTGATGAAGTCATGGTAACGAGGGACTGACGAGATCCTTCAGTGTTCTCACGACATACAAACCTTATGTCTAGACAAAACGTACCTTCGAGTCAAACTCACTCAAACGGGTTGAGGATCACAGGCTATATTCATTCTGCTGAGGAAGCATAGTGTGTGAAATACGGACAACTGCGAAAGTAACTTCTGACCACTCGAACATTTCGATCACGATTGATTGATTTTCCATAAAGTCAGCGTTACATACAATCAACAACGATTTTCATCAATATCTTGAAACTCAATGGATTAGCCGAAAGTTGGAGTCGCACCGTAATCGACCTCATTGTATGCCGTAAGCTCTTCAAAGACTTTTCCAACTGGTTTCAGAATTGGCATAATTACTTGGAATGCGTGTTTACAAATCCAACGTCGAAGGCCAAGGCATGTGGTAGACGACGGAATGGTGTTCTACAACGTTTCTGCTTTATTTATTTATGCCGAATCCGGCAAGCAACCGCGACGGCTCAATTAATTACGAGGACGGGATTTCCATTACGCCCCATTGCAAATGGCAGTCGTTAAAGGAAGGCGGGTCGGACCGGGCTGAGCCGTTAGTGCCTTTGGACCATCGTTTGATCGAAGCTCGTGGAATGGCAAGCATCACGACTGCATTGACGGATGAGGTGAACGAAAGCACGGCTTAATGGAAATGTCTGTCTCGATTTGGGCTGATCGACGTGCCAAGTTTTTCACTCACTTGCCTCGCCGTAAAAACCAGTTCAAATTTCGCTCGACCATGAATAACGATTTTCGGCCAGAACCGAATTTCGTTTCATAGCCGGTGTTTAAGAATTACAAAGAAATTAATCGCCAAATGAATATCGGTTCATAAGTCAGAACGTGTGCTTTATGAGGCTTTTAAATTTGATTAATTTTACTCAGTTTTCCGAGAGCAAATTCTAGCTTGTTCAAGGGCTCGGTTCTGGAAAAACCGGAATCCGGACCATAAACAATCGCCTAATTAACTGACGTTAGCCACCGGCATTCCACACCATGTCGTTTCTCGTATTTTTGCTAGAGTTAACAACACCATTCACTGCACAATCAATCGCCTTGACAGCTCATATACGCAAAGCTCTAATCTTACTCACTAGTTTCTTTTCCGGCAGAAAAATGGTTTGGACAGCTTTCAGAAAAAACAGTATACGCTGCTATGTTTAAACGCTGCTTCAGAGAATCTGTCATTTCTTTTTGGTCAGTGTTACCATCAACTATGCTCCAAGGCACAGCCGTTAGGCTTAGGCTTAATCCAATGATGTCCGCTGAACAGTCAGATGTTGTCTTAATCTGAGGCATCAAAGGAGATACGCCTAAGCAACTGCAGGGGGCTGCTTCCATTATGTCTCTCCAAATTTGATGCTCACCTCTGGAACGGCAGTGTCCATGGCTTGAATCCCATAAAGTATTCGCTATTTTTGGTAGCTGGCTTTCTGTCATACGATAAAGTTATATTTTTATATCATTAATTCACTCTTAGCACTAATTAACTTCATTAGAACATAAGAAAGTACCTCACAGCAGTCTTGAAGTCATCGTACCCTCCCGACCGAAGACCAAACGTACTCAATTACATTGACACGTTGAGTCCTTATCTGAGGAACTACCAAACTAAAAACTGCATTCAAGATCTGCTCCAGAAGTAAGAATACCGGTTTGCCTATTCACGTGACAGAGGCTTATCTAAGAAGAATATCTGTCGATGATAGAGAGAAGTTCTACGGTGTAGGTTGGCCAACAAGCCACTCAATCATAGTTACGATGAATAAGTTTCATTCTGATTTCTGAACTTGCTATTCAGTGCGGCAACACTGGCGGCTAAAATATTTTTGGACACGTTGTCAAATATGTGACTCATCCTCTTTTCGATCCTCTAGAGAGCAAAACGGCACTCCCTCCCCCTTGTCCACTTTCTCCGTTGCTGGCAGAATGATTTGACCAATAGCACGTGTCACTTCTTTTTTGGATGACAGAGACGACCGTGTGTGATGCAGCGGAATCATCCTCGTAGTTTCTGACCTCTATTAATTTCTCTCATGTCATCTGCATAACTGATCCTGCATATCTGAGTACTGTATGATTCAGTAATCATTCTGTTCGTTCAGAACGTGACTCGGCAGGGAGAACGGGAATTTTTCCTTCCTCCATCGTTCTTTGTGAGATCATCAGCTTGTTTGCCTCAGTGTCTGTAGCAGATCAACACTCAGCGCCATATGTCATGGGGTGAGGGGGGGGGAGGGGCAGCATTGCTGAACCGAACAGTCACTTCTTCCGCGTATGAGCAATTGACTGTAGAGCAGCGATATTTCACTACACTTAAAGCTGGCCCATACCGCCTTCAGTTTTCCGCTGATTTTCTCGCCTTTACGAGTTCCTGCGGTCCACCTGACAACAGAAGTATACACAGTTGATGACTTTTCGAGTTCTTCGATATTTGCATAGACTAATCCTCTAGAATAGTATCAGTTCTTCGTACATTTCGTCTCTCAGATGCTGTCTTAAATTCGGTGGTGCGAGATTGTCTGGAGACTAGATTCAAAATGGTGCAATAAATGGAATCACCTTGCAGCCAATCCTTGGCCTCATGCAATGTAGTACCTAGTGAAAAGAATGTAAAGAGGATAAATCCGCCAGCAACAGTACAGAATTTGAAATTTTACCTCAGATCTGCACTCATAAGTTGTTTTAAGCTTTTATGATGCACAATATCAAGTCATGCTGAGCCCCCTTCCCACGCCCTCTTCAAAAATGCCAGTAACGCCCTAAAAGCGTTGAAGGTAAAAATCGATGAAAAATGCGTTGACCATCAGCATTCATCGAAAGAGGTTTGCGAGGCAGCCGAAGTAGCAGACTCAGAAATTTATTGAAAGTTTCGTCTTCGGCTTTAAGAGACTAATGAAGCAATTTGATTGCGTTTTCTGAGTCAGCTGAATTTCGACTCCACCATGTCAAGTTCAAATAAGCGTAGATTTTTTGATATAAATTTGTTCCGTCTGAAATTGCAAGTCTCGAAATCACGGCATGACGCAAAGCGGAGCGGTTTCAGAACCAACGTGAACCTTTTTCCACCACTGAGAGACCCTTATTTCTAAAGTTTACTTCTCTGAGGACCGCAAAATTTGAGGAATCGATCCTTAAATCTTCATTGAAGCGATTATCCTCTTCTCCATTCGTTTTTGTAGCACTTCTATAATGGATATCATCAACAACCTTGATCCTCGCATCAGTACCATAAGCCAGGAGCATATTATTCATAAAAGGCATCTATTGCTATTTAGCAGACGCAGCGAGAAGACCTCCACTTACTTTCCAAACAGCGCATTTACTAATTTGAAAGCAAAGAAAGCGATTATAATAATGGATCACACGAATGAGGCTACAGATTGGATATTGCATCATCAATATGAATACAGAAACAAAATATCGAGGGGGTGAGCTCTTAGCTCTGCTGCGCATATCAACCCAGTGAAGGTTCTAATGTCACGTTGTTAAAATCTGCTGTGAATTGAAATAACGTCCTTAATGATGATTAATGGGTCTTTAACGGAAACGTCAGTTTAGACAGCAGGACTGAACCAATGAATCCCAGGACACAACTGTATTTGGCATCAATCAATAGGTTTCGATAATCACTTATCCCATCGGGTCGCGGAGGTAGACTTGTCAGACAGTCTTCAACGTCCTCAATGTTCCTTAACCTGTGGTAGCATTTCAGTTCTGCAAAACACAACCGGAGTATTGAAAGACTTTGCGCACTTGCATGGCGTTATTCTGGCCGTATCCGGGGTCTTCGGTCGGTCGGTTGTGCAAGAAGTAGCTGTACCACCTTCCTTTCTGGAAGCATTCGCAACACGTGCCAAGACCACCGAAGTGGCGGCTATGCACTAAGGCCCAGAAAGCTCCTGTCAACTGCTTGTACCACCCCGGATTAAAGTTCTCAGTCATGGCCAGCAACTCAAATCTGTAGGTGAGCATCGGAATGAAAATCGA